AATCTTTTCTTTTTCTGGCACAGCCTGAGATTTAAGTTAGCAGTACTTGGTTGTTCCAGCATGCCCCCAGGTCAGCTAACTGTCATTTCAGAGACTGGAATAAACAACACTCTGGATGCACATAGAGATGTTCTGCTTTTTAGCTTAAGTTGCTCAGTAATTTGCACCTGGGCTGAATGAAAATGTGCACTTCAGTAACAAAATAAGTGATCGGGCATTATAACATCGTGGCTTAAATTTTCTGTTAAGAGGGCATGCCATGTTCCTCTAGCAGAGAAAGAATAATGAGTGCAAGATTTCTTTTGCTGACTATATCCTTGATAATTTCTCAGCAGTAGCATTGAATGGATTCAGCAGAAGCTGCTCAGGAATATATTGTATACCAAATTTAATTATTTGCTCAGCTGACATTTTCTTTGATTTGTTTAAACATTCTTGGAAGTGAAGGACCATGCACTGAGTGCAGGCAGGAGAGTGGACCTCCCAAACCTAGCAAAGGAAAGAGGAAGAAGAATTATTTAGCTGGGAGACAACTTCCAAAAATCTGTCTGAATGAGGAAAGTATTGCTTTGCAGGAGTTGAGGCTTCTGCTGTACTATTTAATCAGAATTCAAGGGACTGTATGCACTTTGTAGTGTGCGTATAAAATGCAATGTCAGGATGGGATTTACTGGCAGGAGAGGAAGCTAAACATCATGTGCCACATTGCCAAGGGGTGAGATCCTTGTCATGTGATGAGCAAGAGCCTTCAGCACCTCAGAGCATCCCACTGGTGGTGGGTGTCCAGACATCTCTGTGCTCTATTACTGCTCTAAATCAAGTGTGATCACTTTGAAAGAAGCTGTTTGTCCCAGGAGTGCTGCTATGTCCTCTGCACAAGTGAACAGAGAAGCTGTGGCATGTAAAAAGCAGGTAGAGCTATCAAACACCTTATAGTTTACTAATACAAGAACAGCCATCACAAAGTGTTTTAGTGATGGAGTGTGGCTGATGCAAGTGAAGAACTTCTGCTTGAGTCTGGTTTTTCTATTTTTTTTCCTATTGAAGACCATGAATGACAAGGAAATTACTTGTAAATAACATAACCATAGTGGGATGAGTGAGGCCAACGAGTTTCTTGAGTCTTCAGTAATCTGGGAACATACTGTGCACACCGAGCCCTTCTGCAAAGACTGTGATGTGAGGAACATCACATGTGTTGTTAACGGTGCTGTGCAGGGCTTTCTCCAGGAGACATCTCCCTCAGCATACGTGTTGGCCCCTGGGATGGAGACTGGTACTCTGAGGTTCCACACACTGGAGCTGGGAGTTGGTCAAACGCCAAACGCCAAAAGTTTACAGGGAAGTGCAGGGGTGTCCCAGTGCCCACCATGCAGGGCATTGCCATCCCAATGGATTGATTGATTGTATGAGACCCAGCAAGGCACATCTCACCAAAGCCTTTAGGTAGTTTCTTGAGGACACAGGCTCACCAGCAGACCAGGCACTGCTCGTTGTGTTTGCAGGAATGGCTTTCCATATGATTCCTGGTCATCCATGAGACCACTTGCAGGGAAGTGTAATACCCAAAGTGAAGACATTCTGTGATTCTGTGAAGTAGGATTTTTGGACGTGGTGCTCTGGGATTTAATGGGAGCATGGGCAGAAGACAGAATACAGCTAGGAAAATACTTGTACAACTTATCTTAAAAGCAAAATGAACAGGCAATGGTCTCAAATAACTGTATTTTGCTCCTAGAGACAAGCCTATATACTGGACAGGGCACATGGTTAGAGGAACCACATCCATTTTCTTTCATAACTGAACTCTCTGTACTGCCTCAGTTGATTTTCATATTCTCCCTTTTTTTAATATATACATTTTTGGTTTTAGCTAATCTTTCCATAGATTACCTTCTTCCTTTCTGAACAAGGATAACTTTATGATAGTGTACTTCAACCAAAGCTGAACTCCTGTTTGGTTCTTTTGCAGACATTGTGAGCACCATTACAATATGCATTGCTGAAAAGGCTGATTTACTAAGAATAATAACACAGTAGAACACACATTCTCTTCATAAATGTATTGTATATCGATTTTTTTTAAACTAATAACCTTGACAAGTGCCCACACTATTATTTTTTCCTTAATGTGGTCTTTATATTTTCAGCCTGAGTATTAGCATAAATTTTATGGGATTTTCTGGGCATATTTGTGTCTGTATCTAAGATATATGATATCAACTGGCAGTGATGGTTGAACTAATCAAATACTACTGACAAGTTAAAGCAAATTTTTAGGACTGTGAGATTTTGAGCATCTTCCCAGATACAGTATCTCCTGACTGAAAGCAGTCTTTGACTGTCAAGTTTAAATACCAAATTTGGGACTTAATCTTTATGTAAGCAAAACACCCCAATAATAAATATGCCTGAGTGAAGCCAAAAAGTCAGGTCCTCCCCTTAAACCTAGCCTGAAATGCGTATGCATGTTTGTTTATGGCCCTCTTGGCATGGTATGTGAGCGATTCCAACCAGTGGGAACCAAATGAGAGTCTTGCACTGAATGGACTTCTATTTTTCTTTCCTTTTTTTTTTTTTTTTTGGCTTGGCATTTGTTCCTTCTAGCAAACATTTTTAAAAACTCTCTTATTGCTAGAGGGAAAATTGACACCCTTTGCTATCACGATGATACATTCCTAACACGTTTCCTTGAGGAGCTGGAAATGGTGCAAAAATCTGGTAAGATAAGTCTCTATAAAGCCTTAGAAGTCAAGCATTCCACTTTAGACATTTAAGACAAATGCATGGCAAAAACAAGTTGTGGTTTTTTTAAGGTTCCTACTTAAAGTTCTGTGCCAAAGCTACAGTACTTATACATTTTCTAAATGTGTTTTAAGCAATAAGTTGTACAACATTTTTAGAACATGTGTTAAGCTATTTCTCTAAGAATGAAGCTCTTAACAAAACATAAGCACTCTGCATGAGATCTTAGCAGCAAAGTGCTTAAAAGATAAAGTAAGAATTGGTACCATGGGAAGAACACCAGCTGTAGAGCACACAGGTCCATTATGAGAAGTATGGTAGTGGGTAGGGAGAAAATGATTTAATCAGGAGTAAAACCAATTTTATTATAAGGGCACGCAGGGGGTGTGGCACCATAGTGAGAGGGACATTTCAAAATATCTGACAGATTTCAACAATGTGAAAACCCACCCTGTTCTTTAAAGTGACAGTAAACCCCATCAGGTCTCTCTTTTTGATGCTATTGTTAACAGTTGACTGTTTAAAGCTGGCCTGCTAAGATGCTGTCGATCTAGTTCAATAGTGTGTGGCAAAATAAAAGGCTAATTGTTGAAATACGATCAATCAAATATGATCTCAGAGTCTAAAGAAGATCCCCTCTGGTAACTCATTTGAGATCAAATCATTACTTTTATGATTGAGGTAATTCAATGGGAGGGGAAAAAAAAGAAAAAGACTTGAAACCAAAGAAGCAAGCAAGACAAGTAAATGAAATGCACAATCTGCCTTTGTTCCGGCTTTGTCTCACTTTACACCAAGTTAAGGAATTGGGTCCAGTCCTTTATTTGTATACATTTCCTGAATCTAAAAATTTAGAAAGAATTTAATAATATTTATTAAATAGTAGTTGAGAGGTGACTCCATTTTGAATAAGCTTTCCTGTCCAATAAAGTAAACTCTATAGTGAGAAAACTATTGCATCCAAGTACCGGGGATCTGGAATTGTGAGTGCCCATGTGTCTCCAATAATTTTACCATTTTATTTAACAACAGTTTAATAAAAAGTGTGCTCTTGCAGTGAGCCGAATTGCTAAACATGAAATTTCAGTGACATTTAGTAAAACATTTCAGGATTATGTTGCTTCAAATTAAATTTGTTCAGTAGTTTTTATGGTTGGCCCTAAATTTGCATTCAGACTGAAATTTTCTAAAAAAAGAGAATAATAGCACATGTGAAAAAAACCAAACTCCATTTTTGGAGTAGCAGGACTTGAAGGAAGTGTGTGTCATGTTAATTTGGACTAATAAAGATTTGCAGTTTCCTAGAGTTATATGTGGATTATGATCTCACTGTTTATTATGTTCTAACAGTATCACACTACTGGAATTTAAAAGCAAGAAAAAAATAGAATAATCACCCAATCTTGTTTTATTTTTATTAGAAACACTATTTTAGCATTTAGTTTCTTTTATATTTAAATTCCTTAGCTCAGTCAAGCTTCAAAAGACAACTTTTTTTTTTTGGTTTTCAAAACAGTTTTGTAAGCACTTGTGGTTTGTCTTTAATGCGTTATCAATTTTGACAGCTTTGCAGAGCCTAGGTAGGCCAACAGGGGTCTGTCTAATATTGTTGCTGGGCAAATCTTCTTCCCAGAGATGAAAACCAAACAAAATATTTTTGAAGCAGTAAGAAGGAATTAATATCCTTTCTCTCGCAGTACTCTATTCCTTACTGACATTACATTCAGGCAAAAAAAAAAAAAAAGGAAAAAAAGTGCTACCCATTATTCCCTTGTACATAGCAAGGCTAACACATGTAAAGCAATAACTCATTTTCTATTGCCATGTTTAGCATATGTCTCCTGTTGGCTCAGCAAGGCCTTTAGGCCGGTCCCTTGTGCCGGCCATCGTTGGCAACTCTTAGCCCCTCGGCCTCAAACCCAAATAGCTTTGAATCATGTTGAGCTGTGATGCTAATTTTCATACTGATGCATTATGGGAATAAACGTATCTGACATACTGTGTCAATGGTACTGTCTCTTTGTGTCTCTTGGTTTTTTGTTAGCTGCATTCCTACAGATGGTATTCCATTGAAAATGTTCTCTTCCTAGGAAAAAAAAAAAAGGAAAAAAAAAAACATGCACAGCACCAAACCTCTAGGTGCAGAAGGCTGTTAACGGTTGCTGATGATAGTAGGCAAACATTAACATAATAATTAGTGTCTTGTAATTGTTTCATTAAAACCAGTTGTTCCATTTCTCCTCGTGTTTTCCCAGAAGAGAAGCTGAATTTGGACGACAGCCAGTGGGAGGACATCCACGTTGTCACCGGAGCACTCAAGATGTTTTTCAGAGAGCTGCCTGAGCCGCTGTTCCCATACTGCTTCTTTGAACAGTTTGTGGAGGCGATAAGTAAGTACATCAGATACAGTAGAAGCTAGTGAAATAGCCTGTTATATAAAAATAATAATAAACTTAAAAATAGAAGAAAGAGGCACCTCAGATCTGACTTACCTTCCACTATCCGTGATCCTGTCTTTTTATTCTTTTTGACTGCCTTTTATCTCCTGCAGCATTTACTGATTTCACTAGAGGAAAAAAAAAAAAAAAAGAAGAAAAGCCAAATTATCGATCTATAAATTTTGTATATGCGATTTAACTGTAGTGCCTAAAATGGTTTAGCAAAGGAATTAAAATGTGTATGCATTCAAAATATGCTAGGCTGATAATCCATATATCCCCAAACATAAGAGAGAGACAAGTAATTGTGAATCGTGTTAGAAGGGGCTGTCTTTATGTTAATCAGAATGAAATGCATGTGTTTTGTTCCACAAGGTTGCAGGCTCTTGCCTTGCAGTGATCACAGAAAGAACGGAAAAAACACTCATGCTCTCTTTTACATATCTACCTTTGTTTTATTGTTTTATTTTATTTTGAAGTTGGCAGGCATCAAAAGTCTTTTCAAAGTCTCTGCTGCAAACTCTGTCTGTATCTGATACATGCAGGTGCATTTTGCAACAGTGTGTCAGCTTGGAAAAACTTGATTAAAACCAAAGTGATTTGGGGGGTTTACTCCTGTTGGAAAGGGGGGAGAGCGAGGGAGAACTTAAAGGGAAAAAGCCTAGTAGGAAATTATTTAAAGATCCAATAGAGAAAAATCTTTAGGAAAAAAACCCAAACTCAATAAAGTACTTAGAGATGTGTTTTCTGCACGACATATATTTGCCATTACTGCTCTTGAGAGCTGTGTGTGCGCATGCACAGCTGGTGGAGGCTGTGAAACCCTTAATGTGAGGCTCGCTCTGATTTTATATTCATAAGAGTCTTTAGTTCAACTAAAGCTCTTCAAGACTCCGCATCAGATATAATGAGGTTAAACACATCTCACAAGATCCTTCCCTTCTCAGTTATTTAGAGATACGACGCGGTTAAATGCACAACGTAAAGAAATGCATTACCTGGAAAGTTTACTTTGTGCGGCTCAATTTCTTCTCCTTTCCCAGGGAACTAGATGGAGAACATCACCTCTTGGGTTTATGTTCCTGTTGCAATCTCTGCAGTGCTGAGGGGGAAACCAGTAAAGAATTCCTTAATGTTCAGCTTCAGTTTCTGCAATGCCTTAGGATAAGATGCTCACTGGAGCACCAGGGTTTGAACAAGTCCTCCAGGTGGTTCTGCACCTGTTCTTCAGGTGGACCTGCTATGTCCTCTTGGAAAAAAGGAGAAGCGGTGCCCGGAGCCAATGCTGTCGCTTCACAGGGCACAGCCTGACATGTCATTCTCCTCTCTTCTTACGCACCTCATTCTGCAGTCGAATGTTTAATACCTACCCTCTGCCATTATCGCTTTCTCATCATGATATCCCACCACCATATTGGTCTTCTGAGGCTAAATATAGCCTTCCTCTCACCTATCACTACTTTTCCTTGCCCTTTGGTGTAGGCTTTGGCTGAGCAATCACTACTGTATTCTGAAGAACATTATCAGGACACCATGATCTCATCCTTCATTCTGCCTTCTGCTCTCCTTCTCTCTGCTAGTGTCCAAGTCAGGAACATTTGAAATCTTCTGGTGGCCCAGTGGGGAGGTTTTGTGGTAGTAAAAATAACAGGTAAATGGCAACAGACTGGCAAATTAAGAGTTTGAAAGCATGTCGGGAAGCAACTGTCTACTAAAGCATTAATATTCATGAGTGAGAAATTAATGTCCCTTTCTGCTATTTGAACTATTATTAATTCTTATTATGATTTTGAGAGCCATTATACACATTGATAGACTAATGAACAGTCATTTATAGAGGGATTTTTAAGACAGTTTATTCCCAGGAAGAAAATGCTAGCACTCTGCGACATACTCCACACTATTTCAAAACCCTAATTCTTCTTGCTTGTTTTACTGCACATCAGGGTGATTTCTACCTAATCCAACTGTCTAAAGTAATCTACAATTCCCAATCAATCTTCTCTTTATTTGGCCTTTATGGCCATAGTATCTACAAATCCGTATTCTTACCAACTCTACTCTTACAAAACGTCTATAAACAACGATTAGGTGTTTTCAGCATTTTTGGAGCCCTTGTACATTAAGAGTACTGAGACAAAGTAAAAAACCTCTTTTCTTCAATACCCTTTCCACTGTTGCTGATTCTTTGTCAGTTTTGAAATAATTGCTCTGTCTGGTCAGCACTGAGCTTGTAGAAAAATTACCGCCTTCTTCAGGGTGTTGAGAAAAGGAGGTTCTCTGTCTTTTCTATCCGTTCTTCAAAATGGGAATTATTAGTGTGATAATTATATCCTTGGTCCGGCACTAAGTACCCCATTGTCAGAGCCATACCACTTGGTAAGTGTTCTAAATACCCATTTGTAGCAGGTAGTAACAAGTTACCAATAGTATCTCTTCGGGATTTAGTAATTTAGCTAGGTGTTTCAGGAAGAATGCATACGCAAGAAGTGCTGTGGACTCCATATGGTGATGTTATTTTGAAGATTATGCGAAAAAAATTCCATAGGAGGCTTAGTATTACTTTTCCTGGATGATGCTACTTTAATTAACATCTCTATTATGTGCACGGGATCAAAATTTTACAGGACTGAGTATTAGGCAAAGCGCTTGTTCCCCACCTTCAATTCCCCCTATAAATAACTTTAGATTATAGCCATAATGTTAGAACAATTTAGATATGACCAGAATATTAGAAGATAACTCAGGGCATTATAGAATCTCAGAATTCTGCTTGCCAGGCTGAAGCTGGGTAATTACTGTCTATATAGCTTATATCGGAGAATTTATAAATGATAAATGGAAGGCCACAAGGCCTCTGACCTAATACTAATTTTGTTTCTTAGGATTTGGAAAGCAGGTTTTTTTCAAGGACTTTGTCTAGTATATTACTGGCAAGTCATTTTGTGGTATTTTGAATGAAATATGCACTACTGAAGTGTGCCCAAATGCTGCTACGAAGTCAGGTTCAGCCTCACTGAAATTACTTAGCACCGCAAATACTTCTATTGATTTTCTGCAAGATCAACAGATGTGGTTCAACAGATTGTCTTCAAGTAAAATTGTGCTTCATGTGAGTAAGGTGGTAGAAGTGCCAATAACTGAAACACTTAATCACCTTATTTACAGAATTCAATCTGCATGGCCATACAAACTTACGCCAGGACTTCAGCCACTGAAACAAAAAAACCCATGAATTCCTTTTCCCCAAATCTGTTAAGGAATATTAGTAGGTAAATGTGTTAGTTGATTATAAAACTTTGTTTTATTGCAACTAGTTTTCTCGAAAGGTCTCTCAGGCAGAAGACATTAAAAAAAAAATAAATTTGTATAATACAATCTTCTGTCCAATGATGGCTGATATTCCCAGCATAGAAAATATCCGAATACCAACTAGTCCTTCCAGATCAGTTCAGCTCTATAGACTGTGTGTCTGTATAGACAGTGCATCTGTGCAACCGCAGTTATAGGAAAACCCCACTGACATTCCACAAAGGAAAATTCCACCCAGTTCCCAAAGCTGCAACATCTGTCGCTGGTTTGGAAGGCTTGAGCTCAGGTCTTTGATTTTCTCTGCAACAGGTTGGAAAGATTACTATGTTGGCAAGATCTTTTTCAATGAGGCCTTGTGATTATGCCTTCCGTTCAGTTCCTTATCTCTAATATGAATTTAATAGGTGTCACATAAGTACTGTAGATTAATAGGTGGCTTATTGTTTCAGATGCACACACAGAGACAGATGTGTATATACGAATACACTTTAAATAGAAATCCTTTTGCCAGAATTATGATTCTCCTACAGACAGTTTTCTGAATGAAGGTATCTGTTACTGCTCTGGGTTTCCCACTTAAGGCAGATGAACACTGGAATGAACTTAATAAAAACATAATGGTGCAAAACCGGACTTGCAAGCTTCCAGGTGGAATCTGCAATCCAGTATGAGCTACCTCAGGCCTCAACGTGAGGAACAGAAAAGATGGGACCACATCAGCCACTGAGTCCCTGGAGAAGGGACAGCATTTATAGGGCACCAGATCTAGTTTAGCAGAGGTGGCTCAGGTCCTGGCAATGCCCCACAGGATCGAGCCTCTGTAGAGGCTTTAGCAAAGTAATTCCCCATCTCTGGAGCTGAAGCGTTTTAGTCCTGACAGAAAAGGAAGCATTTCTCTGCATGGGGAGAAGTAGAGCCATAGGCACCTAAAGTTCTTCAAAGGTTGCAATTGCAGCATCTAATTAGCTTATGCACCTTCAGGGATAGATGGTAGCTGGATAAGGTTTTTTTAGAATTATAATGGTGAATTTAAATGCCTAGACACTACCTAAGGTCCACATTAGATACTCACATAATTTTTGTTTTTTCGAGATCTGGATTTCTTTTTTTCTTTGATTACTCTGATAGACCATTAACACTTTTTCCAACTGATTTCACACATATTTTTCGATATATCAGTTAGGGTCTCCTGGTGCATGCTAAGCAGGACTCACAATGTCGTGCCTATCAATCCTATAATGTTATGTGTTACCCTACTGTATGGAAACTGAAGATGATTATTCACACATAATAGAGTTTCATAACATTTGTTAGTTATTGAAAGACATTAGATTTTTTTAAAAAAAAAAATTAGGTTTGCTGGTATGAAATACTGGTCTTTACTGGTCACATCTGACAAAATCTTTGATGATAATGTAGTAAAGCAATACTCTTCTTTCCTGAGAATGATAGACTTTTTTTTTAACCCACAAAAGCTGTCAGTCCGCTCCATGTAGGCCAGATGTCTTCATCTTCAGGATGGCTGGCATCAGTTAAAAGGTTTTCTCTGAGCTTGAGATCCAGCCCTGCTTTAGACAGGTCCTCCAAGAACCCGCTGCCTGCGTGGTTTGAGACAACATGTTGCAGAAACTCAAATCTAT